TCAGCTTCTTAAAAATAAAAAAAAAAAAAGGACTCTGGATGTTCTAGGTTTTGTGTTTTTTTTTTTTTCCCAGGAGGCTGTTTCTGAGCTCCTGCTGTGGATACCTGTACTAAATACAGCAGTGGGTGTTCTTCTAGCATTAAAGCTTTGCAAATGTTTGTGTGAGAGATCACCTATGTTATTTAAGGCAAACCGTTTGGTTTTCTAGAACTTACTTCCAGAACATGTTGACACTTCAGTTAAGCAGAAGTGTTTTTTATTTCTATACCAAGGGTGCAGTGGTAGTGCTTTGGTTAGAGTATGTCTGTATATTCAGACTATAGAGTTAGTTTAATTTCCTGTGGGAATCTCTGTTTGCTTTTGGAGGGTAGGTTTAGATAATGTGTCACGCAGGTCCTCCGCTGGGGTGCTGGGAAAGCCCAAAAAGTTAAAGCATCTGGTTTGACCACAAATTTACATCTCTTGTCAGAAGCTGTAAACTGCAGCAGGCCCAAGAATGGGATCTGAGAACTCAGAGGAGCCTGGTGATTATAATTTTTTTAAGATGTGGAGCTTACCACGAGGTGCTTAATTACAAGCTAAGGATAATACCAGTGGGTGGACAAGGAAGGATAACGCATCAGGGCTTGTGATGTGGATTTGTTGGCTGTGTATCTCCTAGTTACAGGATATTCTAGCTGAGATTGCATTTGCACCTCTTAAAGCAGAATCTACTCCTCAGTTGCAGAAGCACACTCTTAGCAGTGGGATAGCTTTTAAAGCTGTTCAGAATTTGATTAGTACATTTGGTTGCTAGGTGCATGTGTGCTGTTTTAACAACTCCTCAGCTGTACTCAGGATACACTGCAGAAAACTTCAATGCACATATTCCTTACATGAAGTGAAATGAAAATAAAAGTGGAAGTTGTCTAATTTATAGTAACTTGCATGCTCAAAATATGCTTTCATGATCCTCTAAAGTATCAATTGCTCTGCTGTTGTTCATTTTTGGTGTAGCCACTGATACAGTTTAAAATTGGAGAGAAAGAGATTGCAGCAGATAGTGGGGGGGAGTGTGTGCGTGCGTGCAACCATGTGTGAAACAGAGGAGGGAGGCTGAGATTTGTTCTCTTGGCACTGTCCTTGCATATCTGTTTTACATATAGTTAAGGAAACGAGCTTACTACTTCAGATAAGGCTAAGATTAGCTTCCAAAAGAGTATATAATAGGCTTCTGTCACCTCACAAGGAGAGGTTTTGATGGCTGAACTGGAAATAGTGCATGGGTTAAAAGAAATGTCTCTGTCTCTGAGCAGCTGTCCTGGGGAAGCTCTAGTCAGTCAGCCAGCATGCTTCCAAGGCCCAGCTGAGTTTCCTCCTTAATAGCTTAGACAGGTGCAGAAGTTGAATCTCCTCTGCCAAGTGCAGTTGTCCTATGTTTTTGATTTACCATTGCACAACTCTTCTTTTATTGCTCCAGGTGTAATATTCAATGTGATTCTGCAGCTTTGGGCCTGCATAGATTTTTTTTTTTTAATTAGGAAGTTAAATAATATGAAGTACAGTTTTCAGAAATAATAAACTGAATTTATTGTTCTACATAATGGTTTTCAACTGAATGGGAATGTACAATGAAGTAAGGAGCAGCAATCATATTTTGTTACTCTACTCAGATACCATAATTGGTTTCAGCTGGAACAGAGAGCCTTAAACTTTGGAAGCTGAACTTGAATCGTACAAGAACCAACTCACCAACTGAGATGTGTCCCAGTGAAGCTCCTTGCTTTCATCTGTGATAGCATCTGGCTTTTCATTTTTAGTGTCGTCTTTTCTGTGTAGATGTATTTGTTTTATACCTTAACAGACTTGGAGGCTGAACCTTTGGCTTCCTTTATTGATCCCTTTCAAACACATGAATGTCAAGTGAAGGTCATATAGCTATCTGTTAGACAAGAGTGCAAGTTTTGTTACTGTAAATGACAAAACAACACATGTACAAATGGTTGATGTTTCCATTCAGAACTTAATTTTGGAAATAATTTATGATGCTTAATGTGTTAAGGATGCTAAATCAGTGTGCTTAAACCCTTATACAACGTTCTTTCTTTTTCTCAGTCGGTTTTATGGTGTAGTAGTGCCAAGTGTGTAGAAGTCATATGTCAGTCTCTTCTAAAAATCTTTCTTTACTCTAAAAAAAAAGTCAGACTTTGAATTCAGATGTGATGAGTGGTAATTAAGTTAGGATGCTCTCCATCTGTTGCTGTCCTATAAAATCTGTGACTCAAATGAAGGACTTCAGGTCTTGGGGATATAAAAAAGACAAAAATATAAACACATATTAAATCAAAATGAGTGTGGCATAGTCCTAACTTCTGTAATTTTGTTTTGTTGTCAGAGACATCAAGATGGTAGGTCTAATGCCTTTGGCACCTTATCTACCAAACAGATACGCTGTTGATTTTCCATTGCTGTTTTTGTCTTGCTCAAGAACATGCAGAAACTGTAGTATTTCTTTGTAGGCTTGACAACATTAATATCTTTTTACATAGATATGTAAAATAGGCTCCCTATAATGTCCTTAAACTTGAGACGTTTCAGGGAATTGGGAGACTTTTCTTTTATTCCTGGATCGTCACTCCATAGCAGGTATCTTATTTCCCCATTTTGAATGCTAAGAAGCTGTGCTTCTACATTGTTTCAAGGCCCTTCCAGAAAAAACAAAACCCATAGCTTTAAATGCAAGTATGAGCGTATCAGATACTTGTGGTGGAAGGTGAATGGCCAACAGAAGTTGCCAGAGAAATAGAAATAAGGCAAAAAAAAAGAAAATTTCAGAAAGTATCACCTTTATTTTTTAATTCTCTGATTATCTTCGTTCGTAGGTAATGGGATAAACACATTATGAAGTTACAGTAGTGTGTGTATATATATTTGTTTTCTTAAAAAAAACAAGTTCAGACTTACAGTATGTTTGGTCTTTAAAAAATAAAAAATAAAACCCTTCCCAAGTTATTTAAGGTTGTTTTATGCAAGATGGGCTGTATTACAGCATGTTTGGCTGAATTTAGTCTGCGTATCTTCTTTATTTAAATTAAATTAAAAGTATGGAATCCTGTTTTGCTCATGCCATGTTATAGACTATTTTGACTGGATATCCTACTTCTTTTGAACTAGAAGGCGCTACGGTAAAGCTTTGTTATGCCTGAGTTATTGATGGAATACCATTTATTTGTATCTTGATAACTAAACTTATCGGAAGTTTGCGGTGTCAGAAGAAATTTTGTGGAGATGTGTGTACACTTTGGTAGTGCTTCTGTGCTTCCCTCATCTTGGCTTCTGCAGGGATTTTTGCATCTGTTCTTCATCCTGTGAAAAACAAGGGGACGCTTGCTCTGCGAGTTGCTTATCACATTTGGATTGAAGTTAAAGCTAGCGGTCATGTGAGTAGGGTAGACAGGGTCTGCTCACGACAGTGGAAAAAAATATTCTATGCTGTAATAGTCTGTCTACATTGGAATGACTTAAGTATGTGCATAGCTTAAAGGGATATTGTTGGGTTAAAGATTTCATTTGAGAATTAATCCAGTGTTACAAATGTAACTTTAGTGAAGGGAAATAACAGCTTCTGGCACAAGAAGAGACAGTACAAGGAGAAGAGGTCAGAGTGGCTACGCAGTATGAGACATAGTTTCCATGGGACTGGAGATGGGGCGAGGGGATCAAGCAAGCTGTTCAGGAGACTTTCAGAAGATGATTGTGTACTGAAGAAGTCAGAGGAGCAACCTGAAGCTTTTCTTATATGGAGGCAGAAGTTATGTCATGGGAAAGGTTGCAGTGGCCTAGAGGAGTGAGGTGTCTGGGGAATGCCAGGAAACGGGTAGAAAGGAAGATGAGGTGCTATTAAGACTGAGTAAACATACTTAGGAAATGACTGTTAACGTTACTAAAATGGTTTTCAGTGGAGTAGCAAAGGCAAAAATTAAAAGGGAGATGAAGAGAGGAAATTGAGCATTTTTTTTTGTATAAAGTAATAATTTGTAGCCTTTCCTGGACCATAGGCAGCAGTACTGAGCGTATACTGTGCTTCTGACATTGTATTTTATTCCTCTTCTGGCCTCAGTTTGAACTCTAGTTCTTTGCCAAATTAGAGAATGCAAAGAAGTGATTAATAACGGAGAGCAATGTTTTGCTTGCAAGTCAAGCTTAGGAATTATTGGTGGGGTTCTATGGCTGTTTGGAGACAAAGGTTGTTTAGAAGAAGGAGAGAAGAGATGAAGGCTAACAAGGAAAGCAAGATGATAAGAATTTGTCTTCCAAAGCAGAGAAGAGGGATGAAAGAACATAATTTGGGAAGGTATAAGAAAGAGAAAGCGAAGATGCAATAGTGGGTCATAAAATAAAGGAGAGAAAGCTGACTTGAATTAGTGGATGGTACAAATTTTCAAGCATGTGGAGTGAAGAGAGTGAAAAGTAGGATAGAACCAGCTAGGAAAATAAGTTGTGAAAAAACCTCTAGCAAGACAGGATAAGTTCAGTGAGTAGGCCCCCCCTCCCCACTAACCTCCAAAAGACAAAAGCAAGGGGGGGAAAAAAGTGATTCTCTTCGTTTCAGGGGCTACAGGTAAAAGGAATTAAAAATTAAAATACAGGGGAGGATTAAATTCCTGGCAGATTCCCAATCTGTAGCCTGGAGTGAAGGTGGTTGTGAGCGGTGGAAGACTTCTCAAGAGATGGGGAAAGAGGAGAAAGAAATAGGGATGCCTGAGAGCATGAGAGAGTAATGAGGAGAGGTGAGAGGACAAAGAACTAAAATAGCCAACTAACTTGAGAGATGGGAAGCAAATTGAAAGGAGTGGGAGGGTCACTGAGGGTGAAAATGACTTCCTGATTGTGTTCTATTAAAGAATGTGAATAGAGAGCCATATGAAATGAATTTTAAAAAATCAGTTTTAAATTATTTCATAGCTGTTTTACGTAGCTTGGAATAACATGCACTAACTTTCTATCTGGAATGTCTCTTTTTCAGTGATCCTTTTGCCACGCATCATGAATACATGCGGCAGATGATGAGAAGCTTTTCTGATCCTTTCGGGCGAGAGCCGTTTCTCAGTCTAACAGATGGTAGGGAGAGAACGGTAGATCGAAGAACACACCATGATTCTCAGGTTGCTCTGAGAGGAAATCGTAGAGTAAGTTTTTTTTGTGGTTGGTTTTTTTTTTTTCCCTTCTTAATCTCTAGGATTGTTACATGGAGCTTGTACTTGCTGGTAATACACTTAGCTTCACATTTGCGTTTCGGTCCAGTGGAAAAGCAGGCCTGCAACCTTGGTCAGATTATTTTTATCGTTCTGAATAAAATGTGAATAATACCTCTTTTGATTCTGTAATAGCCAAATATCAAATATTTAAGCATTAACTTTGGCAAACTTATTTGTTAGAACTATAACACAATAAATCTGTGTGCTAGTAAATATTTCTATTTACTAAATGTTTATTTTAATAAATCCTATGTATTCAATGTTTCTATTGCAGGTAGGCATTAAAAATGTCCAAAGACACAGCCTTCTCTTGAATGTTTATTTCCTTTTTATGCTATCTGTACTTAAAAGTACCTTAGCGTATATTTATACCTTCACTCTGCCCTTTAATATCTTGTGTCTAGTTTCTTGATTATGTTAAAATATATGATTGCTTAAGCCTTACCTATAACAATGAGTTCACAAATGTTGCCAACTGATTTTAAGCACTTGTAAATCCATCTTTTTTGTTGTAGCAAATCCACAAAAGATAGTCTTAGGTACCAGGTGTAGTGTACCTTTACCAGAAGGTGTAGAGCTCTGCAAATTGTGTTGAGAGAGTCTGCAGGAAAAGGCGTGTTTCTGTGGTTCCATTTGCTTTTTGTATTCTCTTTGTTTTGAAGTGAGGGTAGTTACTTTATGTTGACTTAGAATAGTGTGGATTTAAGTTTGCGTAATTAATTGTTATGAGTCCGAATAATGTACTGGTAAATTATTAACACTAAATTTTCACTCTTGTATGTAAAAAGCCAAACCTGTGTTTCAGTTACCTAGACAGTATCTTTACAGATAATGTTAAACTCTTTCAGTTTCTTTATTTTGTGTAACGGCTTCACATTCTATAATTTTTACAATTCTTAAAATATTTCCTGTAGATGTATGGCTGTAAGAATTAAAGATGATTTTGTAAACTGATACGAAGCCTAACATTCTTGTAAACACCCACTTAAAACTGAGAAGGAAGTTGGCAACAGTCTTTTACAGAAAGCACATTTTCAACTGTCTGACCGTGCAATGACAATTATAGCTTATGTTTCTCTAGCTAAACCTTACCTGATTTAGAAATGATATACATCTGAAGTTGTTTGAGTCCTGTATCCCTCCCCCCCCCACCCCCATCCCAGCTAAATGTTTTGCACTTGAACCCTCTTCTACTTTGTTTTTTAAGTCAGGTGTCATTCATTACTGTTTGAGTTCCAGGACAAAAGAGCTTACAGAGGGCTGTGGAACTTGGCCAGATTTTGTTGTTGTTGTTATTCAAACTTAGATATTTAGAGCTTAATAAGCATAGCTGAAGCAGGCTGTCACCTACAGGTCAAAAGGGTAACTGTCAGATTCTTTCCTCTGTGCTCACGTGTTGCCAGTTAGTTTCAAATATAGGTGTAGCTGGATCTAATTAAGGCATAATCTTTCCTCTGTTGAAGCAGGTTCTTAAGCCTTGCTTCAGTAGTTACCTAAAAATGGATGAGACTTTTCTTTTTCTTTAGAAAAAGAACATGTCAAAACCTACCCTAATGTTTTAGGATATTTTGGCAGTGAGACATAAATGTGAGGCACAGAAAGCTTTATCCGTGGTTATATAAATGAGTTAAAGGTGCAAGAGCACAGTGTTCTTTTGGTGAGTACAAAAGAATTCCACACTTGCTAAGATCTTTTGAGTATCTTTTAAAATTCCTCATGTTTCACCTAAGAGCTGTCCAGATGTCACAGAAAACTTCAGTACTGATTATTTGAGCTTTATAGTAGTCCTGAATTGCTTTTGCTGTTTTTCTTCCGGAAATGATGCAAGCAAACTTGATATCCATGTTTTCTTACATAAAAATCTAATTATATCTTTATTACTGTATCTGATACACTTTGTTAAATGTACTCATATGATTAACCTGTTGAAATTTGATATTTAAATTATAGCATAGGTAAACTTGCTTTGCAAGTGAGATAATCTGTTATTACAGCTCAATATGCATAGGTGGGTTGGAGAAATTAAAGCTTTTGGAAGTTTAAATGCAATATTTTTGAAAAACTTATATGACATTAAGTTTCCATCCCTGAGAAAGATTCCTTGTGTTAGTATAAAAAAAGTTAACTCTTACTGTGCTTTTGGAGACCATGGTGGAACTTGAACAGAAGCTTGGTCAATAGGACATCTGATTGTCATATGCAATAGGTAAATATTTAACAGCTTTCAATATCTTGTAAAATAAAGAATACTTAAGCGTTACTGTGACTAATAGCTCTAAATTTCCCAGGATGTCCTTTTGTACCTGATAGGATTATAGTCTTTTCTGCCACCACATACTAGACAGAACTACAGTCTGAGAGTTCATAAAGATACTCTGCAATTGGATAATTCCTTACTTTTGCACTTGCAATCATTATAAAGAGTTTGGTACTTCTGTTTAAACAGTCTTTGTTTAGGTAGCCTTTTATAAAACTCTCTCAGCTTAGTTTCCTGGAACCGTCGGTTTGTTTTCTAGCACTTCACTGCCCTGTCATATAGCGATATTCAATATGTGTTGGTCAAACAGGAACTGTATTTGCTGGTGTTTATAGCTACATCTATTTATACATCTACAGAAGAATATAACTTGCTCATGGGGGATTTATTAGTCTTCAGATGGTTCTATATATGATGATAGATTTACTTAGAACTTCTTTGCGATGACCTTTAAGTCTGACTTGTCAGCAGTTTCAATTTTGTTTATTGCAAGAGGATCTATGGATATTTTAGAGAAATATGTTTATATTGCTAATTTTACATTGATGGTCTTGTAATACATAAAGTGCTTGTGAACAGATCAGTTGCATCCCTTTTTTAGCTCTAAAATTTACATCAGCCTCTTGAAATTCAGTTACATAAACTTAAGGGGAATATTGATTTTTTTTTTTTTTAATCAGCTTTCAGTGATGGGTTCTATTGTGTGAATAGAATCAAGTGGTTTTTAGAGGAGCATGTGTCATCTGAAGTACTGTGCCTTATTTTAATTTCAGTGTAAAGGTTGTTATGGTATACAAACAGTTCTCAACTTTTAGCTTTAAGTGCTTCTAGTACATACGTGTGACTATGACTTATTAAATGTGGTAGAGTTATTGCTTTCTAGTTTTAAAATATTTTATCTCCTTATACCCAGAGACTGCTGCATATTATATGGTCATAGCACACTATAAATTACCAAGGTGATCAGAAATACTTAATATCACCTGCTGTATATAAAAATGCAATAGATATTTCTGCTGTGCCTCATAATATGAACAATAACTAAAAGAAGCTGATCCTTTTTTTTTCCAGGCAGTAAGCTGCTCCCTCATGCCCTTTGCAGGCTTTGGTAGTATGGTTAGTATCCCAGGAGAAATAATCTGTGTAGCTCTTGCTAATGCATGCATACTATCTGCATAGCTAAAACGTGGATAAAGGCTAGCTTTGTGTGCTTGCAAATTGCTGTGGTTGGTGTTTAGAGACATTGAACAGCATAATTCTAGAATGCCTCTTTCTTTCTTAATGGAAATGGTGTGGTAGACTAAGCACTCTGATACCAGATTTGAAAAAGTTACTATTTAGCAGCTTGCTTTTGTGTCTGTTTTTGTCCTTGATGTCAGAGCTGACTCCCAGTGAATGAAATAAAGTGTGTTCAGGGATTGAATGCAGCCGTAGAGCAGATACCGCCGATCTGGAGCATGTTTGTGTCTGTGATATCCAACAGAACGTAGGTACCATGTCCAGATGTCTAACAGCAGAAGGCAATCTTCTGGAGTTACTGATACTTGCAGTGATCTGATTCACTAGAATGTCCATAACAACTGCCTAAAGGGTTAAACAGACCTTCAAAGCAGTTTCAACGTCTTGCTACTCAAGAAACGTCATTGAAGATTTTGTATACATGGATTTTACTTACCTTTGTGCTTAAACTGCAGGTTTTCCATTTAATCTCTTGCATATATAACTACTTAATCTCTTACATATATAGCTATTAAATGAATTAATATACATCTGATTATTTACATTTCCAGTAGTTTGAGGAATGTTGGATTTGTGTGTTGCTGGAATTGACAGTGCCTAGAAGCTTAACAGCCAGCATGCAGCATTTGCACCTCACTAGCATACTGCAGGCAGCGCTGAGGATGTCAGCAACTGAATGGCCTGGCGGGGTTTGGGTGGGTCCTGATGGCAATTCATGGTACTAGAGGAAAGGCATGGCAAAACCTGCTGTGCTGGAAGAGAGCCCAGTGAGGGTGCTCACGTGGCACTCTGCTGTTGTCCCAGCTTGCTGTTGGGAGAGCTTTCTCACCCCGCCGTAGTAGCTTTCATCATTGGAGTTGATGTATGCCATCAGCTACAGACCCTGCTAATAAAACCCTGTGCATGTAAGCCTGTCTTAACATCCTCTGTGCAACAGCGGGTCTTCTGCTTTCATGTAAAAAATAGTGACTGTTTTGTTGGGTACAGCTACAGGATCAAATAATTAAGCTGCTATTAGAATCACAAGTTGTTGTTCTCTGATTCTCCACATCTGTGTTATTTGAGTGATGTGCACCAGACATCTTTTGCAAAGGAACAGCTAATTTCTTGTGAGATGCGTCTACAGTGGGATTCTGAGAATGGCCTCCTTTGGAGGCAGCTGAAATAGAGGCCTGTCCATGCTAATATTAAAAAGCTACACCAGGCAAGGAACTTGCCCTGTGTATGAGCTTAAAAATCAGCCTCAGCCTAGAAGCTGAGACTGATTGTTTGCAGCTTAACAGCTAAACTGTGCAAATTTTATACCAGATGTTTTTGAATCCATTTGATGGAGCAGGATGGTCTTGGAAACCTTTTCTTGTTATTTCTCTACCAGAAGAGGACATAAGGACATAACCTGGTTTTGCTCCAATCTGGGCAGTAACCTATTAGCTTATGTGTCATTCTTTCTTCCAGGTCATCTCAAAACAATAGCTAAGCCAGCGAGAAAAACTCATTTTTTCTGTGTGTTGGTTAGGTTGTTCTCCTTTCATGGAGACGTTCCTTCTCGTATAAAGAGGTATTGTGTTATGGTGAGAATATTCAGACAGTTTGATTGCTCAACTTGCATGTGATTCAGAGGATCAAAATGAGGAAGTGATGTTCCATACTTAATGAGAGGATTCAGGCACAAAGAGTATCTAAGTGCGAATCCCAAAGTACATGTCATTTCTAACCAGTGCTAGGATCACATGGGGGTTTTTTATGGCTTTGCACATCCATTCTGTAACTTGCATGTTCCTTGCTATAGATGTGATTTTTGTTTTCATATGGTGGTAGGACAGGTGAGTCATTTTGTTCTGTTTGTCCCTAACTAAATTCCTTTCAGAAGTGCAATCCTGAGTTTGGTTTTTGAAGAGCACTTGCAGTGAAGATTTTGTATAGGAAAGTATAAGATAGTGAATTTCAGTTTTTACTCTATTTAAGAGGTGTGGTTAAAATACACTGTTTCTGTTTAAATTGCTTCTGGAGTATTTCATCTCCATCCTCCTGCTCCACATGGAATCCAGAGCTATGCCTAACAAGATCCTTTTCAGCAATGACTTGAGAGCAGTGTCTGCAGAACTTCACTGAGCACATCAGAAGTCTTCCCTAGCATTTTGTTCTGATTCTTTCCTGACCAACCGCTTCATGCTTATTATGGCAGGCCGCCTGTGTTAAGGGATTTGCATAATAAAGTTGGCTTGATCTTCCATAGGTCTGTAAGGTGTGGAGAGTCATATGATACTTTTGACTGTGACAGGAACTGACAAGCTAATTAGGTTAGAGAGTACATGAAAACAGTTCTTGCGAACTATCTGCAATATGTGCTTATTCTGACGTTTGAGTATGAAAAATCTCACACTTCCCTCTCTTCCAACATCTGCATCTTAACAGTCAGGTTCTCCCTGCTTGCTTTCAGTTTTTATATTAAAAAGATGCATTGCAGGCTGTGAAAACCTTGTTAATGCTCTGGTTTGCATCAAAACAGTGCATGTTAAAAAAACACCTTTAGAACTTAGTCGTCTTAATCTTCGTTTTTT